CTAGCTGTACTCCATTTCTGTGTATCATATTCTGTCTCATCTCCTGGACTCTACCTATGTGTGTCATTCTAAGACATTTTTATTCTGTTTCCGCCTCATTCCCTCTCTCCACTTCTCCCACTCCTTTTTTTTCTAGTTAACACCTACCAATCTTAGATGGAGGATGAGTGTGTGGATAGAAAAATAGAGGGAGGCCTAGGACTAAGGCCTTGATACCTCATTTATAAAAGCAGAGAACCAGAAGAAGGATGTGGAAAAAAGAGGAAAAGCAGGAGAATACAGTATCACAGAAAGTAAGGAAAAGAAATGTCAAAATTTGTAGACCAACAGAACAGAATACAGTCCATAAGTAGACCCATGCGTATGCTGTCAATTGATTTTGACAAAAGAAATAAGGTAGTCTTTTTAACAAAGGGGGCCGGAACAATCAGATATCCATAGGGAAAGGGAGAACGTTAAGCTTTACCTCACACCATATACAAAATTAACTCAAAATAATCATGTACCAAAATGTAAGGATTAAACTACAACATTTCTAAGTGAAAACATAAAATATAATCTCTGAGATTTGGGGGGAGGCAAATGTCATTAAGAAGACTTTCAGTGAAGGGGAGCGAAGACCAAAACCTGATTGAAGTGGGTTTATTTTGTTTAATATTATTTTTTAATTTCATTATAGTTAACATACAGTGTTGTATTAGCTTCAGGTGTACAATAGTCATTGACTTCTGTACATTTGTCAGTACTGTTCAATTATGTTATTTAATCCCATCACCTATATCCCTGCCCCTGCCCTCTAATCGTGTTTGTTCTCTCTTAAGAGTGTTTCTTGGTTTCTTTTTTCTCCCTTTGCTCATTTGTTTTCTTAAATTCCACATATACATGAAATCATATGGTATTTCTTTCCTGACTTATTTCACTTAGCATTATTCGCTCTAATTTCATCTATCTTGTTTCAAATGGCGAGTATTTTCTCTCTTTCATGGCCGAATATTTCATTGTGTGTGTACATTGTTAAATGTTTCTCCATAGAAGGCCTTAATTCAGACCTACTTTTTTGAGGGTTTTTATCATGAATGTATGTTGTATTTTGTCAAATGCCTTTTCTACATCTACTGAAAGGATCGAATGTTAATTGACTTGCGAATATTGAACCATTCTTGCAGGCCAGGAATCCCTCTTGATTATGCTGAGTGATTTTTTTTTTTAGTGTATTGTTGGATGCGATTTGCTAGTATTTTGTTGAGGATGTTTGCATCTGTGTTCATCAGAGATACTGGCCTATAGTTCTTTTTTTGTGGTATCTTTATCTGGTTTTGGTATCAGAGTGTTACTGGACTCAGAATTAATATGGAAGTGTTCCTGCCTCTTCTATTTTTTGGAATAGTTTGAGAGGAATAGGTATTAATTCATTTTTAGATGTTTGGTAGAATTCACTGGTGAAGCCACCTGGTCCTAGACTTTTATTTGTAGGGAGTTTTTGATTAGGGCTTCTAGTTCATTGCTAGTTACCAGTCTGCTCAAATTTTCTATGTCTTCCTGTTTCAGTTTTAGTAGGTTATGTGTCTCTGGGAATTTATCCATTTCTTCTAGGTTGTGCAATTTGTTGGCATATAGTTTTTCATGATCTCCTCTTACAATCCTTTGTATTTCCCTGGTTTTTGTTATTTCTTCTCTCGTTTGTGATTTTATTTGGATCTTTTGATGAGTCTGGCTAAAGGTTCAATTTTATTGATCTTTTCAAAGAAAAAGTTCCTGGTTTAATTAATCCGTTCTATTTTTTTTAAGTTTCTAAATCATTTATTTCTGGTCTAATCTTTATTATTTCCTTCCTTCTGGTTTGGGGCTTCATTTGTACTTTTTCTACCTCTGTTACTTGTAAGATTAGGTTGAGATTTTTCTTCTTGAGGTAGGCCTGTTACTATAAAATTCCTCTTAGAACAGATTGTGTTACATTCCAAAGATTTTGGATCATTGTATTTTTTTTTTAAAGATTTTTATTTATTTAATTGACAGAGACGTGATGGGAGAGGGAGAAGCAGGCTTCCCATTGAGCGGGGAGCCCGAAGCGGGGTTCGATTCCAAGATCCTGAGATCATGACCTGGGCTGAAGGCAGACACCTAACAACTGAGCCACCCAGGGGCCCTGGACCATTGTATTTTTGTCTTCATTTTTTTTTTTTTTTTTTTATTCCTCTTTGATTTTTTGGTTGACCCATTCATTGTTTAGTAGCAGGTCATTTAACATTCTTGTATTTATGCTCTTTCCAGATTTTTCTTGTGATTGGTTTCCAGTTTTATACCATTTTGATCAGAAAAGATGCATGGTAGGATTTCAGCCTTTGAATTTGTTGAGACTTATTTTGTGATCTAACCTGTGATCTCTTCTGGAGAATGTCTTATGTGCGCTTGAAAAGAATGTGTGTTCTGCTGTTTTTGGATGGAATGTTCTGAATATATCTGTGAGATCCATCTGGTCCAATGTGTCATTCAAAGTCATTGTTTCCTTGTTGATTTTGTTTGGAAGATTAATCCACTGATATATGTGGGGTGTTACAGGCCTCTGCTTTGTTCTATCACTATCAGTTACCTTGGTATTAACTGCTTTATGGATTTGGGTGCTCCCACGTTGTGTATGTAAATATTTACAATTGGTAGATCTTCTGGTTCTATCGCTCCCTTTGATTATAGCAAGAGATAAAGGAAACTGCATAGTCTTTTTTTTCCCCTTTAATTTTGTCTGATCTATTTCTATGCTGGCTTTCTTCTCACTTCCATTTGCATAATAAATGCTTTTCCATCCCTTTACTTTTAATCTGCATGTGTCTTTTGGTCTGAAATTATAGACGGGTCTTGCTTTTTCACCCATTCCATCATCTTATGTCTTTTGGAGCGTTTAGTCTATTTACAGAAAAAATGGGCATTTTAAATAACAGCCATTCTGGAAAGCAGAGTCTCCTCATTCTTGGAGTTTGTTGCTATACATCTAGGGTTTTCCTGTATTATATAGTCTTTGTGTGGTTGAATTCTCTGATTAGCTTAATGGTGAGCAATATAAGAACACAGATTTTCTTTTTTTTTCTTTTTTTTTTTTTTTTAAAGATTTTATTTATTTATTTGACAGAGAGCGATCACAAGTAGGCAGAGAGGCAGGCAGAGAGAGTGAGAGGGAAGCAGGCTCCCCACTGAGCAGAGAGCCCGATGCGGGACTCGATCCCAGGACCCTGAGATCATGACCTGAGCCGAAGGCAGCGGCTTAACCCACTGAGCCACCCAGGCGCCCAGACACAGATTTTCTTAGATGCCTAGAACCACGGTCTTTCAGTCTTTGCAGAAGGGCTCTATTTGTGTATTGGGGCAGGTCTTTAAGGCTGTTTCCAACTGTTTTAGCCTTTACTTTCTGCTTGAGTGGAGCCTCAAGGTTACCCCGAGTGAGCTCCTCAGACCTTCTCAGCTCTTCCCTATGCATGGCGCTGGCCTTCCACACCACTTTATGCATCTGTATTGCCCTCTAGAGTCCTGGGAATAGGCCACAGCATTTCAGAACATTTTTATGTCTCATTAAGACTTTCAGTGGGGTGGGCGCCTGGGTGGCTCAGTTGGTTGAGCGACTGCCTTTGGCTCAGGCTATGATCCCAGACTTCCAGGATCGAGTCCTGCATCGGGCTCCCAGCTCCTTGGGGAGTCTGCTTCTCCCTCTGACCTTCTCCTCTCTCACTCATTCTCTCTCAAATTAATTAAAAAAAAAAAAAAAAAAAAACTTTCAGTGGGGTGAAGACCGAAACCTGATTGAAAAGAAACTTTTTCTTTTATCCCACAGATTTTTGGTTATCCTATTGTGTTTTAAACAAACAGCTTTTTTTGCTGTCTCTAGTAGTTGCCAGGCTGCTGTTTTTAGCTGTGATTGTGGGCTACTGCTTTTCATGGTCACCAAAGAGTTGGAGGAGAGGGTGGTGGTGACTTAAAATGCCACAAAGCTTATTGTTCATACCAAGATTTGGCTATTTTTTCTTGAACATATTTCCCAATTTGCTTAAGTCTTTGATTAGTTTCTAAAGGTTATTGACATTTTTTTCCAGTGTGCTCATTGCTTTTGTAGAAAATTTTTAGAGGTCCTTACTCTGTCATTTTTACTAATATTACCCATATCTTAAGCTTATTTTTTTTTAAACTGAAAATACATTGTCAAATATGTTTTGTATACTAAAAGGTCTATTTATGCTGTAAAGAACAGTCAGGTAGGTCTTGTAGTAGTCAAATGTATTGTGGAAAGAGATGTTGGAAAAAAGGGAATGATGAATTTTACATCCCGATTCTGTAAGTGTTCTATCTGGTTGGAGGTACGTGTAAATAACAGCTTGGAGGGAGGGTTATGTATTAAATAAAGTAGAAATAGCCATATTCCTCAAAATTCATTAATAAAAAGTCAGGAATGTTATTAAGAATTAAGGTGGCCTCTGGCTATGTTAAACATGGAGGAATATTTTACTCTGGAAAATTCAACCTCCTTAAGCACTTGAAAAAAAATAGAGGGGCTTCCTTTTTTCCAACAAATCACAAGTTAGATCAAAATCTCTCATACAGTGTCTCTTTAAGACTCTAAGCTTTAAGGCACTGAATCTTAAAAAGGTGTACTGGGTCACACCATCGTCAGGCTGGTAGACAAAAGGAGACAGAAATGCAATGCTTACCCTCTTAAGCAGCAGTTAGTTCTGCGCCTTTAGCTGCCAGGACATGCTTGATAAATGATTCTCTTATGTGGGAAACACTCTCGAGGGCACATTCATATTTTGACAAATATCTCCCGAATTTGGAAGTCATGCACTATGGTACTGTGTAATCATCAGAAGAGTTAACTGCCCATCTGTAGTGGTGGCTCTTCATGATCTAATGCAGAGATGAACTTGGGCTCTAGGGCAGGACAATTCTTAGCATTCTGTCCATGATGCCTTTCTCTTGTGTCCCAGAATTCATAGATATGTATATATTTATCATTTCAGGACTTTGGAGCCCAAAGACTTCGAGAAGAAGACACCTATTCACCACACTCTTGCCTAGAAGACAACCAGAAATATTTGGTAGGTTTTAGATTCTTTTGAAATATGCAAGTTAACCACAAGCAGATACAATCATGTCATTGAGTCTAAAATTCAGTTCTTTTTGTATTTACTATTCAAGAACTAAGACAAGTTTCTGCTGAAGCATGACCCTTATATAAGCAGATGTGGAAAGGGGAACTCTTGTTTTCCATGCTTGAGCAGCAAGAAGAGTAATAGAAGTTACTGTAAATGGTTTTCATTTCTGTTCCTTTTGAAGTGTAATTAGAATGACTGGTCTATCATGTAGGTTACAATATTTGCTGGTAAACGTTTCTTCTGAAATGATAAGAGTGATTAAAATGCATGAGATGTTTTCTGGAACAAATCATTCAAGCATTATTTCTGATGGTGGGAACTGAATTAGAAAAGTGAGATATTTAAGTATCTTCATATGGTATTTTTCACGTAAGAGGATTTTTTCCCCACCTCAAACATTTGCTAACACCAAGAATTTAAGTTGTTTTATGTAACATCCATTGAAGAATGAGCTATTGAAAAATACAAGCCATTTCCTGACCGGTGCCTCTTGGCCCTTGGTGTATCATTGGCTTTCTCTTACCTTTTCTTAATTTTTAATTTAGATGGAAAAAAGAATGGAGGATGAAGAATTGGGGAACTGTGGAGAAGGGGATTATAAAAGCTCCTAGGACTGAGAATATATACTATAGAATTTTGCTCAGATTCCATGAAAAATAATGATTCCCCTTCTACTTGGTAATGCAGATAGCCTAGCTGACCTCCAAGTACCTACCGTACAACATCTGTTCTGTGGAGGGAAAGCATTTTTACAAAGTAAAGATGGAAGATATATAGTCTAATCATTCTGTGGTATAGATCAATATTTTTAATACCAAGGCCTCATAATATGAAAATCTCTTACCCCTCTCACATAGCAATGATTTTCAAGGGGAATGTACATGACATCCTTTGCAAATTTCCACCAGTCAAGATGTCAATCTTTTGTATAGTCTATATTACTAAAGGAAGATAAAATTATATATTTGGAAAACAAAAGCCATCTTAAATATGCTTTTATTCTATAAACATTGCCTCTTCCCCAAAATGACAAAATGCATTGGGGGGGGGTTGATGTCTTATCCTTGGATGATAATTATTGCTACACATGAGTGGTCCCCAAATTCATTGGGGGTAGGCAGAACTAATATTTTTAGCTAACAAGGGAAACAAATTAGAGTTTCCTAATAATGAATGTTAATGCTGATACTAATCAAATGAGAGTAAGTGCACACTTACCTGTGACATACTGAACCTGAGTATTCTGAGGAAAGAAAGGGAATTGAGTGTAGAAGTTTTAACAGTGGTACTTTCCTTCATTCACTACTTTTATCACATTGTAGAATTTATAAGCCTAAGTACAACACAGTAATTAGATTAAAATTAAGCATCTTTAATGTGAAAATACCTATACCATTGTGTTTTAGAGACATGAGGTATTAAATGTAACAGCACAAATTAAATGAATAATGAAAAAAAAATTTAGGATCAAGCTAAAGCCATTCTTAAAAACTTATGTTAGAAAAAAATATGTAAAATTAGCTAAGTCTACACTTTGAGGAGTTAGGAAAAATAACAGGAATGTAGTAAGAATGAGCCAAAGCTAATAAAATAGAACACAAATACAATTAGAAAAGATTTACGAAACGGAAGGGTTTTTGAAACATTGACAAAACTGCCAAGGTGGATTTAAAAAAAATAGTCTAATAAACTTCAGGAATGAGTAAACTGTAGACATTTCAAAAGAGATAAATAACTTAATGCCAAAACGTATTTACTTATTTGAGAGAGAGAGAGAGAGCACAAGAAGGGGGGAGTGGCAGGGATAGGGAGAAACAGACTCCCTGCCGAGCAGAGAATCTGATGTGTTGATCCCAGGACCCTGGGATCATGACCTGAGCTAAAGGCAGATGTTGAACCAGTTGAGCCACCCAGGTGCTCCTAATGCCAATATTTAAAATTTAAATATGATGTATTAAAAGTAAAAATAGATTATCAAGATAGTAAAAATTATTAGGGGAATTGAAACAATAGTTAAATTCTTCCACAAAGAAAACTCTGGGGCTATAGGGTCTATAAAACATCAAAGGAAAATTTCCAATCTTCTAAAAAAATAATTGCAGAGAATTTTTGAAAAGAAATATTCTGGAACTCATGAAGATGGCATAATTTTGGTATACAATTCCAGTGAGGACAGTAAGAAAGAAAAAGTATAGGCCATTATAAACTCAGCAATACAACAGTTTTCAAAAAGATTAGTATTTCATAAGCAAGTTTTATGTATCTAAGGAATGTAAAATTGGCATACTAGAAAATTCACAATGAAAGGAGAAAAACCATATAGAATTCTATAGATGGGAAAGCATTAGAAAATTCAGCATCCAGAATATAAGCAAATTTCATACTTAATGGAGACAAGACTGAGTTTTCATTTGTATCAGAAACAAGACAAAAGCACCTGCCATCACTCCTATTGAAGAGTATCCTTAATATCCTACCCAACACAGTAAGACAAGGAGAAGAAAAAAAAGGATTGGAATGAAAAAAATTATTTTAATATACAAAAGGCAATCATTTCAACATAGTAGCACCAGTTAGAAGATGTATTTAGAAACAAATACTACTTACATTAACAAAAAATTACTTACATTATTTTTTTTGAAGGTATGAAACCTCAAGAGGGGAGCAAAAACAGTATTATTTGGAAAGACTAAAAACCTAAATAGAACATACTATGTTCATGGGTAGGAAATCTCAAAGATAGCAGATTTTACATAGATCTTTGGATTCAGTGCACCTCCAATTGAAACCCCGGTAGAAATTTCCCCAAACAACCCAAAAAACCTAAGTTTTGCTTATATGAATGCATATGGAAGAGCAAATTGTATATGCCACAACTGATACGGAACAGCAAATGCCAGAGAATCACCAAGATACCCTTGATAGAAACGGTCAGGAAACAAGTCCTGTCCCCTTCAAGGTCCGAGGTGGACTAAGAATCAAAATTGACATGGGACAGATTAACAGAAAATAAAATTTAATGGTATACATATGGGGAACCTACCCAGACACGCAAAGTTCAGAGACAGGCAAAATGAGGTGACTAGGTCATTCTGAACTAAGGAGAAAAGGGTAGAGGGTCTGGGATTTCAGAGAAAAGGACTGTACTTCACAGGGTGATGAGAGAAGCTGTTTGGTAATAGGATGTTTACGATTTTTTAAATTTTATTTATTTGACAGACAGATCACAAGTAGGCAGAGAGGCAGGCAGAGAAAGAGGATAATTAGATGTTTACCTGCCATACAGACGGCTCACTCAGATAAAATTTATTTCTGCTAATAACGCTCATTCTGGGGAGGACTACCAATTTAGGCTCTTAGATGTAGTTAAGGGAGGAACAAAAATTTCTCTTGACCCCATAGGGTCTTGACTGCCTTTAAGAATAACTTTTTACCTTCGGAATAACCTTTATGCTGAAGTAGTTCATTTTAGGGCAGCCTGCCCTGGGCCGCTACAGCTACTTCCTTTGAAACGTCCATGAATTTTCACGCATAAAAGTTGAGCTAACAGGAGATATGCCAAGGGTAACAATCCTATCAGTGTAACTCAGAAAAATCATAGAGGCCACATTGAAGATGGGTAGGAAGGGTGGAGATGTGGTCAGGATCCAACCAATCTGTAAGGCCAACCACCAATGGAAGGGACACCAGAAGCAGGGAGAGGAACAGACCCCACAACCAGGCAGCCCAGATATAGAAGTACCTACACTGGGAAGACAAGTCCTTATTTGGTTTAAAAACCAGAGGGGCTTAACTTTGTGGGTGTTGCATAAATGGGGCTTAACATCAGGATCCTTAAAAATCAGTGGGCCCAACTCAGAGCTGGAGAGCAATAGGAAATGGAGTCCCCACCCTTAAAGAGACCAGCATAACAGACAAACAACCCCGTCCAGATACAGCACAGAAACAGCAGTTTGGAAAGAGCCTAGGGCCTGTGGGGAAGGAGTTGTATTTACTAATCTCAGAACTGGTTGGGGCGGGGGGATCTATAGGAGACTTCTCAAGAACAAAAGAGCTAATGGTGTCTCTTCTCTCCCCTGCTCCCCCAGCCCACATACACAGACACCTGCGGAAACCAGTACAGAACCCTCACCACTTAGCTTTTGCTAACAGCATGCCTTGCCACTGAGTTTTCCTGAAGACTGTCCCATCCAACCTGCCTCACTCCACAGGTCTCCCTCCAGAGTGATTCCACAGAGGCCTCATGGTGCCTCAACGGGGGTCCAGCACCACTCCAGAGGTACTCTTGCCCTGGGGAGAGGAGAAGATACCCACACACACAGCAGTTCAATGGCAGCCCCAGCAAGGGGCTGCAGGCGGACCTGACTGCCTGCCCCACCCACCAACAGAAACCTCCTGGGGGTGGGGGGTGTGGGGGTCAGCACAAAGAGAACCCAGTCATTCAGGGTCACTGTAACCACCACAGAAGACTGGGGACAGACATCTTCTCTTACTCCTGACCTTGCCCACTAATGAAAGCCCCTTGGGGACAACAGAGGGAGAGAACTCTGTAGTTTGGTGCAACCATGGTTCCAGCAAGTAGGCTGAAGGCAAGTACTGGGTCTGACCTAATTCAAGCCCAGAGTGGCCCCAGACTGGCACCTTTACAGCCCAGGAACCAAACCCTGATGACAACAGGCAAAGAGGGCCAGGGAAGCTAACTGGACTAAAGGCAAATGGGGCTCAATGACAGTAGTAGGGTACATGCAACATACATAGGAGATACCCCTGAAGCACCAGGGTCCACTGAGGAGGGAACATTGCCCTATAGAGCATTTCAGGATCGTTTCATAAGGCCACTCATTTCAAGATCAGGAGACCTAGCTAACTTTAATACACAGAAGCAAAATTAGGAATTATGCCCCAAATGAAACAACAGGACCAAAAAGAGAATGTAATTATAAAGATACTCACTAGACTTAAGATTGAAAGATCCCCACGTGACCTTCAGCAAAGAAAGAAAATATAAAAAAGAACCAATTAGAGATGAAGAGTTCTGAAATTAAAAATATGCTCAAGTCAATAAATAGTAGACCAGAGGAAGTAGTAAAACAGATAGGAAGCTAGATGATGGTAATGGAGCAACCAAGCTGAACAGGACCCAAAAAAAAAAAATAGGTAAGAGAACTCAGCAACACCATCAGGTGTAATAACAGTCACATTCTAGGGATCCCAGAAGGAGGAGAGAGACAAAAGCAGAAATTTTGATTAAGTATCTGAAAACTTTCCTAATCTGGGGAAGGAAACAAATCTAGGTCCAGAAGGCACAGAGAACCACCAAAAAAAAAAAAAAAAAAAAAAAAAAAAAATCAACCTAAGGAGGTCCACACCAAGACACATAAAATGGCAAAAAGTAGTGAGAATTTTAAAAGCAGCCAGGGGAAAAAACAATTATATACATACAAGGGAAACTCCATAAAGCTGTCAGCAGATTTTTTTAGCAGAAACTTTGCAGGCCAGTGGCAAGGGGGATGATATGTTCAAAGTGCTAAAGAAAAAAAACCCTGCAGCTAAGAATACTCTATCCAGCAAGACTGTCATTCAGAATACAAGGAGAGATAAAGAGTTTTTCAGACAAAAGAAAAAGGAGTGCATGACCACTAAATCAGGCCAACAAGAAATACTAAGGAGAATTCTTTGAGTGGAAAAGAAAAGGCCATAATCAGGTATAAGAAAATTAGAGAAAAAAAAATGTTAATATAACATGTTTACATGCTCAGGCACCTGTAAACATCAAGTAGATTAACCAGTACAGAGATTAAAGCACAAAGCAGTAAGATCAATTAGATCTAGAAAAAAGTCAATACAGGGATTCACAAAAGAATATAAGGTATGATGTCATATACATAAATGTGTGGGGGTGGGAAGAGTAAAAGTTGTCCATGCTACGCATAGCAATCTACAGATATAATGCAATCCCTAGCAAAAAACCGACAGTATTTATCACAGAACTAGAACAAATAATCCTAAAATTTTATGGACCACAGAAGACCCTGAATTGCCAAATCAATCTTGAAAAACAAAACTGAAGATATCCCAAGTCCAGATTTCAAGATAGACTATAAAACTGTAGTAATCAAAATAGTATGGTACTAACACAAAAATAGACCTATAGATCAAAAGAAAAGAGAGCCCAGAAAGAAACCTACAATTACATGGTCAATTAATCTACAACAAAGGAGGTAAGAATATACCAGGGGAAAAAGCCTCTTCAACAAAAGGTGCTGGGAAATCTGGACAGCTACATGCAAAGGAATGAAACTGGATCATTTTCTTACACCACACACACACACACACACACACACACACACACACACACCTCAAAATGGATTGAGGACCTCAATGTGAGATCTGAAACTATACAACAAAGGAAGCCAAAATATGCAGTGCGACAGTTCTCTTCAAATAATGTTGGGAAAACTGGACAGCTACATACAAAATGAAACTAGACCACTTTCTTACACCATACACAAAAACTCAAAATGGATTATAGAGTTCTAAATGTGAGACCTGAAACCTAAAAATCCTGGGAGAGTGCACAGGCAGTAGTTTCTCTGCCATCACCCATAATATTTTTCTATGTATCTCCTGAGGCAAGGGAAACAAAAGCAAAAATAATCTATTGGAACTACATCTAAATAAAAAGCTTTGGTGCAGTGAAGGAAATAAACAAAACTAAAAGGCAACCTGCTGAATGGGAGGGGAGATTTGCAAATGACATATCCAAAAAGGGTTAGTGCCCAAGCAATAAAAAGAGTTGATACAACTCAACACCCAAACAACAACTAATCCAATTAAAAAAATGGTCAGAAGACATGAACAGATATTTCTCCACAAGGCATACAGGTGGCCCAAAGACACATGAAAAGATCAACTTTACTCATCAGTAATCAGTAAGTAAACAACGAGTATTGGCAAGGATGTAGAGAAAAAGGAACCCTTGTGCACTGTTGGTGGGAATGCAAACTGGTGAAGCCACTGTGGAACACAGTGTGGGGGTTCCTCAAAAAGTTAAAAATAGAGTACCCTAAGGTCCAGTAATCATACTGCTGGGTATTTACCCACAGAAACTGAAAACAGTAAATCAAAAAGATGCAAGCATTCCTAGGTTTGTTGCAGTATTTACGTTAGCCAAGATATGGAGCCAGTCCATATATCCTTCCATAGATGATAAATACATGGTATAAATACAGAAGGGAATATTACTCTGCCATAAGAAAGAAAATTTGTCATTTGCAACATAGAATTCTATCTTCTAAATCCATCTGAGTGAAATAAGTCAAAGACCTATCCATGGGATTTCATTCATATATGGAATTTCAGAAATGAGAAACCAAAAAACATACTCTTCACTATAGAGAACTGATGCTTATCAGAGGGGAGGTGGTTGGGGGGTACAGGTGAAATAGGTGAGGGGGATTAAGAATACACTTAGCGCTGAGTAATGTATAGAATTTTTGAATTGTTATATTGTACCCTTGGAATCTATGTTTGTTACATTTGGATTAAATATGAATTAAAGATAATTTTTTTTTAATTGAGCTGGTAGTTAGTTTCATTGAAATAGTCTCTCGGTCATCCTTACAATAGTCGAGCTCATTTTAGGAGGCAGTCAGCTGCATTCTGGTTCAAGTAATCAGGTATTAAATAGGAGGTATTCCTATTGTCTATACATAAGCTGCTGTTGTGATTTCTCTGAAGTTTACATCAAGTCATTCATACTTAGTTCACAGAGCTTCAGGAAAGAGGGCAGTTTTAATTCTCAAATGATTCCAAGTCAGCAAGGTGGGAGACAAATCAAAATGTTAGTTTGGAAAATCATAGCCAGACATTGAAAGATACTAGGAGAAATCAGGATCTAGTCCAGTTTATAATGCATAGCATTAATATCTAATATCTACAGAGATGTTGCATTTTTAAAAATGCAAATTTTTAATTAGGATTAACATCTAATATCTACAAAGATGTTGCATTTTTTAAAAAGCCAAATTAACAGTGGTTTGTTTGTAAAATTAGTTTAAAAACAAACTTGGCCTGAATATTTATATAAGTGCAGCAGGAAACTGGTTGACCATATAGACTTTCAAAAACCTTGCTTTTGGGGTGCCTGGGTGGCTCATGGGTTAAAGCCTCTGCCTTCGGCTCAGGTCATGAGCCCAAGGTCCTGGGATCGAGCCCCACATTGGGCTCTCTGCTCAGCGGGGACCCTGCTTCCTCCTCTCCCTCTGCCTGCTTCCCTGCCTACTTGTGATCCCTGTCTGTCAAATAAATAAATAAAATCTTTGAAAAAAAAAAAAAAAACCCTGCTTTTCTGGAACTTTTCATAAGTCATCTCTAGATTGACCTTTTTACAGCATCTCATGGCCTGAAACCATGCTAAAGACTTGATGTCAGACTTTGCCTACAATACCTAATGGATGTGAGTGAATTCATCTCTTTGGGGTTTCTGCACCTGCCAGGAAGGAACCTTCTTTATTCTCTTGGTAAGTCTGCTGGGAACTCTAAGGAAAGGTACCAGGCTGAGACTTCTAAGGGGCCTCACTGGCTCCATAAAGTCAATCTTAATTCTTTTTTAAAGCTGTCTGGTCATATCTGAATCTATGTATATCTCTCATAAATATTAAATTCTAGTCAAAGCCCTATTTCCAATTGTGTCCTGTCGTAAGGAGAACATACTCTCATTGAACATATGCAAATAAATATATTGCCATAAAAAAATCTAAACACTTACCTGAGAGTCTGAATTCTCAAGGGGTCAGGTAGGGAGAAAAGATCAATGTTTCAATTTGTTCAAAGGCATATTTTATCAAATTGCTGTAAGTTAGTTTAAGAGAAAAGGTTCACTTAAATCTGGAGAAAAGGTTCACTTAAATCTGGAGAAAAAGATTGCTAGGAAAATGGCAGAGTAGGGGGACCCTAAGCTCGTCTTGTTCCATGGATACAACTGCGTTAACACTCACATTAGTGTAAATAACACAGAAAATGACCTGAAAACTAGGAGAACAGACTCCACAACTAAATGCAGAGAAGCCACTTTAAATAAGGTATGAAAGGCGGAGTCATGGTGGGTTGATAAAGGGACCATGGGCCATCTATGGGAGGGACAGATCCGTAGGCATAGACAAGGCAGAGAAACAGACTAGGACACTGCAGGGAGCCCACATGGAGGGGAAAAAAAAAAAAATCACTATCACATATGACTTTGAAAA